TGTCCTTGAACTTCTATTTTTACAATAGAAGTGACTTCTGAGCCCCCATCATAAAAGTCATTACAGATTCCATCTGGCGCTGTCAAGGGATTTCATGCATGGAATCCAGGCACCACACCGTGAGGAAATTTAGACGCCTTGGAGAAGAATCACAATCTCAGGACCCAGATAGATGCCTGCTGAGCTTCCAGCAGTGGACCAGAACCAACTTGCCTGTGGGGAATCATAGAAATGGGTTTTCTGGCCCTAGACAACCCTGCACTGGGAAGAGACAAGTCTTCCTTATGGGCCCCTGCTCAAATACGGACCTAGGAACAAAGTAGGGATCATACTTTGAGACCACTAATTTTGGGGTGGTTTGTTATATAGCAATAAGTGCAACATGAGATAAAGAGATATTCTTGCTACGATTGCCTAGGAGCTGTGTACTACCTAAGATTCCCTTTTGATTTTTTCTTTTCTTTTTTTTTTTTTTTGTCTTTTTCCTTTTTATCGGTACCAGGGATCGAACTCACGACTGCCTGCTTGCAAGGCAAGCGCTTATGCCACTGAGCTAAATCCCCAGCCCCAAGATTCCCTTTTGCATTTACCTTTTCTTCTGTTCATTTTTCTTTTCCTTCTGTTAGTATTTGCAATAGGAATCAAGATGCAGCTCATGCAAATTAGTTAACAGGAGCTTGGGGTGTAGCTCAGTAGCAGAACATTTGCCTAGTATTGGGGTTTGATCCCAAACACCTCAAAAAATTTAATAGAATAAATACTTAGATTTTCTTAAAAAACAGGAAAGGGGAACTTCCAACAAAGAATAAGCATTTTTTTCAGATCTGTGCCTTTTCAAATATCATTATCAAATGCTATACATAGTATTCCACTTTTCCTGTGTGTCTGAGAGTTCCTTTGAAGAAATAGTAACTCAAAACTTTCTGTCTGTTTGCCTGCTCTAGCGGTATTTTCCACAAGAGAAGAGGAAGATAGGACAAACTGCCCCCATGGATTATCACTCTTCTCTTATACAAAAAGGGGTAAAATTTGGGTCTAAGAGGCTGGGGATTTAGCTCAGCGGCATAAGCGCCTGCCTTGCAAGCAGGCAGTCGTGAGTTTGATCCCTGGTACCGATAAAAAGACAAAAAAAAAAAAAATTTGGGTGTAAAATTTAGTTGGTGACTGAAACAGAGAAGGACACACAAGAATGTATCTAAGAGACCTTTAAGGGTCCCTCTGCGATGCACGGCACATTGCCTTCTGTTTTGAGGGGTCCAGTTCAGGTCTTTGGTTACCCTTTATTTTCACCTTGTTTCATCAAACCTGTGTAACACATTCCAAGGCCTGGATAAATATTTTTGAATGGTTCAAACTTTGTCCTATGCCCTTCAATCCTCTTAGGAAATCATTGTTGGACTTTAAAGAATGGGAAGCTTCATTCACTTGAGAACTGGTCAGATTCAGAGCCAACTGCAAAGTCGGCCATAAGGACATGAAAAGGGGGTAAGGGTATTTGAAAATCTGACAGGATCTTCTGGAAAATGGTCACAGCTGTGTGAGGAACCACATGTAAACATACACCCAGAGTAATCCTCCTTGTGAGGCAGAGTAAGGCCTGCAGACAGATTTTCTTTTTTTTTTTTTTTTTTTTTTCATTTTGGTACTGGGGATTGAACTCATGACCTTACCCTTGCCAGGCAGGCGCTTATACCACTGAGCTAAATCCCCAGCCCCTGCAGACAGATTTTTCTAACCAGCTACCACACAACCTACCCTTTCAGGTCCTTCCTCCCCACGCCTACCTCCACTAATTTGCTGATTTGCAGGCCAGATTACCTCTCATTCTGCAGACCACCTTTGAGTCCCTGTCCTCTGTCCTCCCTTCCTTCCTCCCCCAATTTCCTCCAGAGGGATGGGAGTGAGGAAGTGAGATCCTTCAGGGAGGCTTCCTTGTGTAATCCTGAAAAGGGAATGGAAGCAAGGGTCACACCAGGCCTACGGCTGTGAGCCACTTTAGAAATCTTTAAGCTGATCAGTTTTATAATATGCGCTCATGGCCCAAGATTTGGTGAATGTTCAGAGGGGGAGAGTAGCTAGCACTTCACACAGCGAGGTCTTTTGCAGGATTTGTCTGTCACATTCAAGCTTGACTTGGCAGGTCATTTAAGCTTTGTTTTCTCTACTTCCCCAGCTGTCCAATGGGGACACCACTTCCTAGCTGAAGTCACAGAACTTCATAAAAACAAGAAGACACTGATGACAAGCAGTTTCCAACAGAAAGAGCTAATGGTACAAAGTTTAGTTCCAAGCACACACTTTCCTGAACATTAGGTGTCCTGTTATGGGTCTCTTTAAAACATTACAGGCCTCTGTCTCAGTTTCTTCTTTGGAAAATGAGGATAAAAATAGGACCTGTCTCACCGAGCTGTTACTCATAATGGATGTTCATTGTTTATTTCACCTGCTCTGCATCTCATTTTTCCTTCAAAAAGTGTCACTGAGCTGTGAGCAGAGGCCGGAATGATAAGAGAATTCTCATTAGAAAGAGGCGAGCACTCCCTCTTCTTATAGACAAGCAAGAAAAACAGCATGACGCTGACTCCCCGAGCAGAAGTTACAGTTTAGGGCTTGTCACTGTAGGACAAGGGTGCAAAACTCCCTTTCTTTCCTTTGGAGACTGGGTTGATATTTTTATTCCCAGATACCTCTTCCTCATTTCAATTTTAACTCTAAAGCGGTTCCTGCCACTAACTGCTGTGTTCTCAGGTCTCCTACAGCACCCACAGGCCCCCACAACCCTCACAGATAACCTCCTCCAGCCGGGTGTCCCCTGCCAGAACCCTGCAGGAGGTCAGGAAAGGTAGCACTTTCTCTTGCACTGAGGAAGCCACAGATGGGGACAGCAGGTGAGGGGGGAGGCCAGGGAGCTGCAGCAGCTGGCAAAGGTTGCCCTAGCAACGGTGTGGGCTCCATTCAGGAAGCCAGCCGAACTCCAAGATGCAAAATGATCGCCTTCACGGGGCTCCTGCAAGCACAAAGGAACCAGAAGAGCCCTGGTCCGGCCCCTAGAGAAAGGAAGCCCATGCAGGGCGGGGTGAGGGCTTGTGCTGTCAGTTACAACCTTCTACCTTTCAGAGAAGGAAAGAAAAGAGAGTAACTCTTTGAATCTTCTGGCCTATGTGAACCCTGTGAGTTCTTTTGTGGGAACCCAGGGAAACAGACTCCCCTCTGTTCACCAGCCTTATGAAACAATATGCAAGACAGGGAGAAACCCCAAATACAACAACCTCACGGGGGCCCTACACTCTCCCCCCTCCCTCCTCTTTATTCGGACCGGTGACAAAGACCATTTGCTCCTAATTTATTTCAGAACTTTTTCTTTCCACAGCTTGAGCAGCTTCAATACTGGAAGCTCCCTCTTCCCCAAATCACCCTCAGACACTTGCTGAATGGGCCAGGCTCCATTATGCTCCCTCCACAGGTTCAGCTCACACTGTGACCCTGCTCGGCTTCCTGCTATTCATATGTGTTACTTCCCCTTTGTGGTAATGGCTTGTGGCACTTGGCCAGAAAACATTATTAATTTCAGAAGTGGACTGACAAACAAACCCACAGTGAGGAGAGGAAGTGCTGGGGAGGCCAGCTGTCGGCCTGTGCTCAGTAGGAACTCGGGGCATGCAGGTTCTAGGAGGAAAGAGATGATAATCCACAAAGAGGAAATGCACTAAAATTACCCACAGCCCATATTTTTTTTAAAGAAAAAAAAAATGAAGAAAAAAAAAAAAAACCAGAAAGAGAAAAGAAATCAGAGAAAAGGATGGGAGGGGAAAAGCACCCAGCTACTTGAGCTGCAGCTGGACAGGAAATTGCTAACACTGCTTGCAAATCCCTACTTTGAACAGGCAGTTTAGGGAATGCCAGGAGCGGAAACTGTTCAGAACTGGATTAACACGAGCCAAGTTGAACTGCAATCCACTTCTCTTTTCTGGGCTGCTGCCGACTTAAAGACACCCAAAGATGTGACTGACTTGGTTATTTTTCTGTACTTTGCTTGCCTTTTATACTTGTTTAGAAATAATGCTGCCTGACAATGCAATTGCTGTGAGGGTCACTTGCCTCCTAAAATGTAAACTAGCAGAACAGTCCAAACGACATCTGCCATGTGCCATCTGGGTGAAAGTTTATCTCTCACTTTAGAGGAAGAACTGAGCTCATGTGGAAAGAGCCAGATATGTTCTGGTTTTCTTTTGTTCTAAACACCTATCTTTGTCTTTATTTTGGTCCGTGTACTTTTTTATAGTCAGGGTAAAGAGAAAGGTTTCCAGGAAAAAGACAAGATGTTTAAACCTGTAGCTTAAGAAACTCCAAAATCTCAGATTCATTCCATAGAGGTTGTGACCTACATTCAAAACCACTTCAGCACAAAAGTACATTTGAACACGGATGGCAAATTTTCATCTTGGGTATCAACTACAAATTCTAAACCTATAGGTGGGTTCCATGAACACAGAAATGCCATGTACCTGCAAAGGGCAGGGGAGACCCCATTCTGGAATCATCTGTCCTCCTAACAGCAGGAAAACTTACAGTATTGGCAGCCTGGAAAATTTCATATCCCTGTTTCCTCTGGCATATTACTATGCAGAGAATCTTGGCAGTGAAGGACAGAAGTTTATATATGGCTACCACCTTGGTGTGCTGGCATACCTTTTTATTATAATTTGTAAGAGAAATCATCTCTTTATACCTCAACTAAGGTATACTATGTTTTTTCTTTGAGACAATAAAATCTTAGTTCATAAAAATCTTAAATACTCACAGAAACCACGGTCTGTACATAACCATCTTGATTTGAAACACAGTATGCACCGCACCAGAGAAATTCTAGGAAGAGCTTTTACAATACTAACTTTTTGCCTGCTATTAAGTCTTCTCAGTCCCTAGCTAAAAATGTTCAAAAATATGTCACTTTACATGTGAATTGAACATCAAATTTTTTTTCAAAAATACACATTCAATAGCCAAAATAGTTATTTATTAATAATTTAAGGTTTTACATTTTTATAATAAATTCCAGCTCAAAATTTTACACTGTGAACATAAATGGAACAATTTTACTGTCCGCTCTTCATATCCGATGCATTCTGCCTATCAAATGGATACCCTTCCTCACACACACTTCCAGTTTTATACACTTTCAAAGGAAAAGAAATCAACCTAATGTATTGCATTTGAGGTGACACTCCCTGAAAAATTTTGTACAGAGGTAATATACTGTTTAGCACAGTTGAAGTTTAGGGGAAAAAGAGTGAGCCCATGATTTTGGCATCTTCCCAAGAGATCCCCTTTGAGACAATACAAGCCAAAATATTTACAAAGGTAAGGCATAGTCAAACTATAGGAGAAGCAAAAACTCATGAGGAAGATACAGTAAAGACTAAAGACTGCACCATAACAAGGTCTTAGTGGATAACAGTGTCTATGAAAATATCATCAGAGTTCGTACAATACTCAAGCATGCTGCAAATACATCCTTTGGATTAGAAAACAGCAAATTCTTTTCTTTGTTTAAAAAGTGGCACACTGCTTTCTCCCTTTGGATTTCTTTTAAGCCAGTCAAAGAAAAACACACACACACAATCTAAACAGTCAAGTGATTTAAGATCAAATATTTACAATATTTAAAAGAAGTATCAGGGGCTTTTCCCAAACTGATACCACAAATTCAGAGCTGAAATCTCTCTTTGGTTCCTCTATATGCGAAGTTGAATCAGTCTTCACTGAAGACAATATACAGTTAGTTCCAGATGCAAAAGGAAATAGCCACGGAAGGCCCTAAAGAACACATGCTCCTACCCTACCATTTGGTGCTACCCTATAAACCTGGAAGTGCTTGAATTCCAGTCCCTGCATGGGTAGGCTATACACATGGGTACAGAGCAAACCTACTCCCTGTATCTAGACAGTGTCCTGCTCTTCCGAAGAGAATGGAGCAAAGCTCTCCCTTTGTAATAACCAATTCCACACCTGGTAACCTTGTCTAATAGACAGCTGGTTGACATTTGGACGCCTGGGGCCACACACAAAGAAAGCAGCCCAGCTGATGCTGCCAAGAGAAACTGCTGAAGGAAGAGACACATCCCAGCAAAGAGGGTGTGTGGCCCTCTCACGTGGACTGCAAGGAGTCCATTTGGTAGACATTCTGGTTGGGAGGTGTGGTAAAATAGAGCTGCTGTGTGGGAACCCGGTTGTCACAGGGGCTGCTGAGTCCTAAGGTCCTCTCAAAGTCTAACAACTGGCCCATGAAGTTGAAGTTAGGGGAGATGTTGGATTTCTTCATCTTGACAATGTCGTAAGCATCGTTCATGGACAGATTGAGCTTCTGCATAAGGTAAGCCACAGTTACAGTAACTGAGCGGCTAATGCCAGCCAAGCAGTGCACCAAGACGCCACAATTTTTGCCCCGGGCTTCATCTGTGAACACAAAAAGAAGAGCAAGATTTCAAGTAGGCTGCAATCACCCTTTGTGAATGAGGAGTCTAAAATCTGAATGAGAAAAAAATGATATCAAACAACCATGTGTGCCCTTCAGGCAACAGAAAAATTTTTCACCAAGATAAACACGTACACTGGACACAATTACATAGTTCAGATATTTTCTGAAAAGAGAGCTTTTGTATTAAGTTTCTGCCAGCAAAAAAACTCCTCAAATGTGTGCATTCTTCGCCTCAGCATGTGAATACCAGAAACCCTGCAATATGGTCGTGAATGCCTTTTATACAGACAAGCAGACTGCAAGGGTCTATTAAATTATTCTCCAACTGTTGTGCAGCTAACAATGCAGGTATTCAGGCATTTTAAAAGAGAGAGGGAAGTCACAGGGGACAGGCCATTAGGAGGACAGGATGTCGACATGGCCTGAAAATGAGTTCCTTTGTAATAGGAAATGCGCTACAATGCCTGGAGATTCACTTCTCCCGGGCTGGAAGCCCACAGTTCCTCCTGCTGGGCTCAGGTTACCCACACACTTCTCACAGTTACCAGTACCATCATATCATGCGACTGAATAACATTTAGCATTCACACTGCTTTCCAACAATTCACTTGGTGCCCTAAAATAACTTCTAGATCTTTTAAAATTATAAAGTCATGCTACAATTCCTCTCCACAGCAAAGTACTTAGATCTATCTTTCTCCATCCCCACCCTCAGCCCAGACTGTGGGAAAATCTGTTGTCTGATCATGCACTGCCTTCTTTTCAAATGATGAATTCAGATTCAAGAAATAGGATTTTTTTTTAAAACAGAAATTTGTGGTCTGCAGCCATGTTAAAAGGCACCTTTGCTTTCCTAAACAAGAAGATAAACCCAGTGTCTAACCCTGGGAAGATCAAAAACCAGCAGTCCAACCAAGTAGCAAATGAAGACTAAGGGTTTAAAATAAATGAAGACTAACAGTTTAAAATCTATGTTCTGCATTTATAAGTCAGGGCAGTTACTGACAGTCTCTCACCTATGAAAGAAATGGCTTCTGGGAAAAACTGGGACAGGTTTTGGCTCCAGTGATCCGAGATGGGGATTTGCTTGTATTTGAACTCTCCAGCGTTCTCAAAGAGGTTGGGCAAATTGGGGGTGACATTCAAGATGTACTTGATGCCGAACTCCTCTAACACGTCCAAGTTGGTAGAGTCCTTGGCACAGCCTAAGTAAAGGAAGGGCAAGATCTCCACCGGGAAGGAAGGCTGGCTGTTGGACAGCGGGCTGCCATCCGAGTCTGTGGCACTGTTGGGGTCTCGGTCAAGGTCAGACTCAATGTCTGAGGAAGAGTCAGAACTGATTCGCAGGCCTCCGAGCCCCAGCACTGGAAGAGGCGGCGAGCTGCTGCTACACGAGCCATCTAGATTGGTCTCACAGTGCAAGGCGAACTCGGCTTGGAACTTACTGAAGCCACCTGCCAGAACGAGAAAAGCAATAGTGTAACCCGAGACGCCTGTAGTAGTTTTCGCAGCTGGTGAGAACGCAGCTGGGCGCAGGAAACACCACAGACACTCCACGAATCCCCTCACCGCAGAGTCAAAGATAAGAACCCCCCTCCATGTGCACCTTCGGGAACGAAACCGACACACCGCCTCCCCTTGTTCTTTTGAGTCCAGAAATGCACAAAATGGCAAGTTTCCTGACTATTCTGGGAAGCTAGGATGTATTACTTTGCACCTCCCCAAACCTCTCACCTCGCTGGCCCTGCAAATCTTAACTTCAGAATCGGAACTATGTTAAGCAGGAAGAAACCGAGAACGTTCCGAATGAGAAAACGCAGACCTCTTTAGAAAGAAACCCCGGGTCTCTGCGGCCGGAAGCGGGAGGACTCCACGCGGACCGGTTCCTCCGAGAGGAACCCGCGCAGGTCCCGGCCCCCACCTGGCTCCGGAGCGCAGCCGAGGCGTCCCCGGCCGCGAGCGTACCTTCCAGGTAGAAGGCCCGGCAGCCCTCGTCCTTCAGCTTCTTGAGCAGCAAGCCGAGCACCGACTCGCCGCCCGTGTTCTCGTTCCAGTCGCTGCTGCTCTCGTCGTACAGAACCACCGTGTCGGTGCCGCAGCGCCGAGTGAAGCGGTCGCGGTCCTCGCCGCGCGTGAAGAGCGCGCGCACCGGCAGGTTGCCCTTCTGCAGGCGCCGCAGCATGATTCCGGGGATGGCCACGTTGATGGCCGACTCGATGTGCGACGACTCGTACAGCTCCTGCGGCCGGCAGTCCATCAGCAGCAGCCGCTCGTTGCCCAGCTCCAGCTGCTCGTTGAGCCACGCCACCGTCTTGCTGATCGCCATTTCCGACGCGAAGGGCGCGGGTCTGAGCGTATCTATCATGGGGGTCGAGCTGTGGGAGAAGTGGGGTGCCTACCAGACGCCCCTCCGGGCAGGCATAGGCCGAGCGCGTCGCGCTCGGAGCCGGCTTGAATCCCGCCTCGCCTTTCCCAAGCCGAGGATAGCGCTTGGGGAAGGCGAGACAGAGGAGCAGCCGGCGGTCGCTCTGCACCCGGCTGCAGTAGCTCGCTTCTGGAATCAATGAATCTCTGAATGAAGCTGCCCAGATAGTTTTGTTTCTCCCCAGTGAATGAAATCCAATTAATTCGGACTCCGTGCTACTGAGAGAGAAAAAGGAAGAAAAAAATAGAGGTTCCTAATCTCTCCTCCAAGGCTGCACCTCAGATCCACCCGGGCGTCTGTCTCCCAGGATTATTCAACACTCGATTTGCTCACTGTCCCTAAGACTCAACCCTCTCACACCCCCAGCGCAAGGCAGCTCCTCAATGGATACAAACAGCGAGCGTCTCAATGGATACATTCTCTCGGCCAGCCAATGAGCGCGCTGCGGAAGGGGCTGTTGCCGTGGGGACGGGCCGGCTGGAACAGGTTGTGTTGATGAATTGTTAATGAGTTTGTCATTCACAAAAACGGAAAGGAATTTCCGCTCCGGATAAGCCCCAGTGCAAACAAGCTGCAACAGCGGGCTCGGCGGGAAGGAAGGAGAAAGAGGAGGCGGCGGTGGAGGAGGAGCAGGCACATAAACCAGGGCACTTCAGTTGTCTCATGTTTCCTTCTGTTGAGAGTTCACACTTCATGTCGGAACTTTTGCGCACAAATGGTGCAATTAGCATGCACAAAAGCCCTTCTTCGCGACGCCTGTCTTTTCGAGCTAGCTTTAGGAAAACTTGCACTTTTTTTTTTCTCTTCAAACTTATTGGATCCAAGTTCGCCCTAGCACCCCTCCTCTGCCCCCCTTTAGTCGGTGTGTGGCATTTGTTTGCATGTTTTTTAAAAAGCCCAGCTCTGTTTGCTCTGATGTTCTTTTAGCCGAGGCTGTGTTGGGGCTGGTGAACTGCCTGGGCTTTAGTGACCGGTGATGTGTTAAATTCTAATCCAACATCTTTCGAAACAAACCAGGATTTTGTTGAAACATTAGAAACAAACAAATGTCTGGTTATCCAGAAAATCAGGAGAAAGGCCCCTCGCTCTGCGGCCCGATAGTGTGTAAGTTTTTCTTTAAAAGGCAGCAGGGACTGCATTTTTAAAAACTCATTGAGCAGCTCGACGCTTTTAATCCGCTCCGCGGAATTATGACCTATTGTTCGGGAATCGAAGTCGCCCCCACCTCCCGGTCACCCACCGCCAGCTAGGGGAGCCAGGAGATCGCCTGAGGAGCCAGTTCGGCCAGGGCGTCTGGGCTCGGCGCAGAGCCTGTCCCGCCGTCCCCACTACCCGCGGGCTGAGGAAGACCTCCCCAAACCCTGCACACGGCGGGGGCCCAGCCATGGCTGGCGATTGGCTACTGTAGACAGTCGGCAGGTCAGAGGGGCGCTCCCTGCGTCTGCCCGACCACCCCCCTCTCCCCTCTCTGCCGCCCCCTCCCCTGTCCAGCGCCGGGCGCCCCGGGAGCCCCCGCCGCGCTTGCGCGTTCCTCCCCGCGGGCCTCTGGGCGAGGGGAGCGCGGGGCCCGGAGCGACCGCTTGCTGGACTGAGCTGGGGATCCGGCTTCGGTGGCGGCCTGGGCTGGGGAGGGGGCGCGCAAACATGCCTGCGGAGACGCCCTGGCTCCGCGTGGGGCTGGGGGCGCCGCGGGGACCGTGCCTGAGGCCCAGCGCAGCCCGCAGGTAACTCCGGGAGGCGCCGAGCTGCGCGCAGCCTGGGCGCCGGGCCGGACGCCGGATGGAGGCGGGGCCGGGCCGCACCGCCCGGCCAGCGAGCTCTATTGTTATATAAAAGTGCAGAGGCCGGCGGCTCCCGGGCGGAAAACCACCTGTGTGCAGCCGCGGGGTTGTGGCCGGAAAGCGCGGGTCCTGATCCGGCCTTCCCTCCCCAACCCCCGGCGGAAGGGAGGCGGCGCCCTGTCCCGCCGCGGCCCGGGAGGCGGAAGCGGGGGCCGGGCCGGCGGGAGCGGCCCTTCGGAGCGGGCCTCCCTGCGCTGCGCGCCCGCTGTGAGCGCGGCCGGGGCGCCTAAGGTCACCGGGTCTCCCCCAGCCGGCGCCCCGCACCCCGGGCCTGCCCGCTGACGCCCCCGCTGCAATTTGCATTTTTAGTCACCCGCCTCTTCTCTGGTTTGGGAAATGTGGGCTAAGAGGCGGCTGCAAGTCCCCGGTTGCCTATTTTGGATCTTTGCTGCAGGCAGGCCGCTCCTGGGGGGGAGCCCGTTGGAGGACGGTGGGGGGGGGCACGCGCTGCTCCTCCGCACCTTTTTTGGGGAGCCCTCGGATTAAGAGCGCCCGGGTCTCACTGGGTATCTTCGAGTTTTAGCTGGGGAGGCCTGCGCAGCAGTCGACCCCCCGCCCCACATTCTTTCCCATCTGTTACAGACGCCCCTGCTCGGAGAAGTTGCAGTTTTGGGGTCTGGGAGTGGAGAGGTAGAAAGCCCTGCAGCGGAAATGAACGGAAATCTTTCAACCCAACTCTTCCAGCAGAACTGGAGGGCGGGAGGGAAGCTAGGTTTCTTCTTACCCATTTTTCAAATGCAGTTACCAGAGTGTGAGAGGAGATCGGGGGAGATGGGCACAACACTTGGCAAACCTCAAGATAAAACCACTTAAGTTTTACCTATGCTTCTGATCCCTATGGCAACCGGAACGTCGGCCCTTCCCGGAACACCTTATTAAAAGGCGTTCTGATCTCTCTTCCTCTCCTCTCCCGAGGCTTTAAAGGGCCTCGGGAGTGCAGCAGCTCGCATTTGAACAGTGCCCCCTTCTCTCCTTGCTTAAGTCATCTGACCATGCTAAGTTACAGTCTCCCACGTTGGCATGTTTTATTTTCTGAGGTCGCTGTGATGATTTAAGTGTTACAGTGAAATGCCCTAACATGGTGATGTGCTCCTCGCTGTTGATGTTATTTTTATCATTCTGGACTGAGAATCTGCAAAATGGCCCTAGTCCTTAGGAGTGTTTCTTTCCCTCCCAAAGATGACATTTGAAGCCTGCCAGGGCTCCCTCATCTGCTGCAAAGTCTAACTACCCTTGGCCAGTTTGAATTCATTCTAGTTTAGCTGTGGGGCAAAACAGCAGCTGCTTCTGATAAAGCTGAAAATTCCATAGCTGGGTTAACAGGCCGAGAGGACCCAGCTACACTGCAAACTTCACGTTACCGGCCATCTTTTAATTAAGTATCTTGTTCTTAAATCACATCAAACTAATACACTACAAGTACACTGTATTGGACAGCTAGTGCAGGGTAGGCACGGCCTTGTGTCTGTGTGTGCAGGTCTAGTTTCTGCCAGGCTATCAAACAGAAAACCTGCTCCCTGGGGGTCACCCTCCTGGCCCTTCTGGACAGGTTTCTAGGTGAAAACACACCTGAGAGATACGGGTTCTGGCAATTGGAAAAATGACAGGCTTCCTTAATTTCAGGAATTTCAGTTTCCTTCAAGGATATCATTCATGCATGGGAAGCTGTGTTTAAAGATGAGAGAATGCAGTGTGTTATCTCTGCTCCACTCTCTGAAGTGCAAAGATGCATTTTAGTAGCTCCTCAGTTCTCTGTGGGATGTGTGTGCAGGCACCAAGCACCTGTTCTTGAATTTTTCTTGTGTTTCCCTCTGAAAGTTGTTTCTCTTAGAAATCTTTCAGTTAATTTTCTCTAGGCCATTAGGGAAATGGTCCAACTTTGCAGGAATTTTCCTGAGTTTAAGGACAGTTGGGATTTACAAGACTCAAATGAGGTAGGATGACCCTTAATCTTTTTGTAGTAATCTCTCTGATTCACAGCAACACTTATTAACATGTCATGTGGAAAAAACTAAACAGATTTTCAGCAAATAAGACAATGTTTTTGGAAGATCTGATTAAAAATGTAATGTAATGGATTCAAGATTTCCTCAGCAGGAGTAGTGATGAAGTCTGTCTAATTCCAGCTACCAGGGGGCACTGAGACAGGACTGCAAGTTTGTGCCCAGCCTGGGCAATTTGGTGACTTAGAGAGAACCTTTCTCAAAATTAAAAAAAAAAAAAAAAAAAGGTTTGGGATGTGATTCAGTGCAAGGGCCCCAGTAGCACCACTACCTCTACCCCGCTGCACACACAAGTGTGAAGTCTGGGGATATAACTTTAGTGTGGCAGAGAGCTTGCCTAGGTTCACCCCACACACACACACACTAAAGATTTACTCTTGGAGGTGGGGAGACCTCAAAGTGACAAGCAATGACTTTTGGAGCAGCTAAACTCAAAATCCAATTTAACTGTATCTAAAGGATACAATTTGAAATGCAGTAAGTCCCCAATTTAGTAACATTCAAGTTGAGAACTTGCAGAGGCATACTGCATAAGACTCACCTTGTTGGCTTATGTTTTTGTTTGTTTGTTTGTTTTTTTAACTTTTTATCGGTACCGGGGATCGAACTCACGACCACCTGCTTGCAAGGCAGATGCTTATGCCGCTGAGCTAAATCCCCAGCCCCACCTTGTTGGTTTATGAACAAATCTAACTTACAAAGAAATCTCCTGCAACAAAATTCCTTCTTAAATCGAGGGCTTAACTATATTCTGACTTAAAACAAATGTATGTAAGATGTGCACATTTCTCTGTGAGGTCTGCTTAGAGGAACCTCAAAAAGATAGCAAGAGGTTCTGTCTTAATCTTAGTAACTGAGGAGCTCAAGGGGCCTGAGGGACTACAGTAGGAAATACTGAGCATGCACTGAGAGTTTCAGATAACTCCTCATTCAGATACCTCAAGGGCAGCCCCTCAGCGCTGCACATCCAAGTTTGTCATTAAACTGCCTTTCTCCTGGAAACTCCCCGCAGCTGGTCTCAAGATGAGGAACCACAGGGTCTTGTGATTTCCCCAAACCATTGTATGGCAGAATGGCACGGCAGGCTCAACCCCAGGGAAGAGGCCGCAACCAAAATTACTTTCCCCAGCATATTTGGTGGAGGACTGGGGTGGGAGGGTGGTTAGAGCTCTTCTGTAGGTAGAATGACCTTTGCGCATTGCCAGAATGTCTCACAGGAAGACAAATGACAAACTACCCATGAGATGAAATTCAGACAGTTTGGCTAAACTTTTAAAAATAATATTCATAAGCTTCCTTGTATTTCTTTTTACATCACTTAATACAGTTCTGATTTTTTTTAACATCATAAGCCCATGGAACTGTCTCCAGAATATGCTTTTCAAGTCTCTAGCAAGAAATCTGTTTTAAAAGGTCATGTTAATAGGGGCTGGGGATTTAGCTCAGCGGCATAAGCGCCTGCCTGCAAGCAGGCAGTTGTGAGTTCAACCCCTGGTACCAGTAAAAAAGAAAAAGACAAAAAAAA